ATCCAGTAAAAAGTGTCTGGCAAGCAAGACGCTCTTAAAAATCTTAAGTAAATTTAACAACACTGTTTTTTATCACCATCTGTTAATGCTATTTCCCTAAATTCTGTATGTTTTCTTTTGGTCTAAATTCGATTACTTAATTACTCGAAAAAAAATAAGAAGAGAATACCTATTAATAATAAATTCGAAAGAAAACGAGTTTTTAATGCCTTAACTACTACCAATAACAATATATTTTATTAGATAATTATAATTATTAAAGGAGTTCACTTTTTGCATGGGCATTGGTTTTTTATCCCGAGTAAAATCCTTTATGGCTAAAATTAGACTGATATATAGCAGCTATTGAGCTGGATGCGAGAAGCCCAAAATCGAGCTAAGTGGCGTGCAATGGGAGAGGCCTATGTCCAGCAGTGGACTGCGATAGGCTGATGATGATGATAGCAGCTAAAAGGGAATGACCTCTTTTCGTATTGCTACCATGTTAGTTGTGCCTCAAGTTTATGATTTTGACAATTTCTGCTCATATTTTATAAGATTTAATCTGATAATAAAAAATCTGTACTTCGAAGAAAAAAGTCAAGAACATTAAACGATTCTAGTTCGTTTTCTTTAGTTTCCCTTTGTTCCAATAGTGTAGCTTTGTTACATGCTGTTCTTTTAATAGAGAAAAAGTTCTTTGCCCGAATGATTCCTGAATTTATTGGCAAACCTATATTCAGGCGCTCAGCGCCCCCGGCTAATGATACTAGCGAACCGCGACTGTGCTTGATTAAATATAGTTTCAGGAAACTACCGTTCATCAAAAGAGAAAAATTTACTTCTTTGTATTATTTCGTATTTATTATTATCTTAATAACAACGTAGCACTAACAATAAGTCAGAAACAATAATCTCCCAAACGTGATCGCTATTCATTTAAAAAAACTCACAATTCTTACGGACCCTATTTACTCTTGCCAAAATGAAGTAAGAGAGGCCATGGAAATAGCAGACAGCAGGCTATAGCCGAATAAATTAAGGGGTTTGGCTTAGACCACAAAACGTTATACATAAGAGCTATTATAAGCCTTATGGCATGACTTTTGTCTCTTAGAATAATAAATAAACTGTCGCCAGTCAGACGGCTATGAAATAAGCCATGACATCACTGGAAGCCTAAATTGGGATGTGAACGAGCGGCAAAAAGGGAGGGTAGACTTCAGTCGTCCTTAATTTGTGCCCTTGTCAGTTTGTAACACCGACGCAAATTGAACAGCTATTTATAAGCGTAATTTCTTTTGTGAGAAATATTTTGTATGTAAATATAGATATATAGCCCGTTTATTTAAGGATTATGCTAATAAAAGTGGTATGGAGACAAGATTCTGCATTTGTTTTATTTATCAGAAGTATATTTTTTTACATTTAGAATCATTACATCAGAAAACATTTAATTGAAAGATTTATAAAACCCACAGACTGAACCATTGCAGGTCATAATGTCCATCTATCTATGATGGACATCATAAAGCTAACTAAAAGATGCTGCTGATGATACTAACCAGCAATCCTCGAGTAGATGTTTACTTGGAGGTGAAGACTGATATAAATGATAGAAAGGGTGTAACCACTTTGAGGAATGGTGGGATCTGTGTGTACAAGTATGTGAATGATGTTATCGGTAACCGGAGATTCTGTTTTTTTTTTAAATTACCATCGTAATCGAACAGTACGAAATAAGAACCCGCTCGGATAGCTGCATAGGCGCACAGATTAATTGTGGAACAGTTTCTGGTTCGGCCTTGTTTCTGCCTTACCCTAAGACAAACTCTGAGTATGCCCTTGGTTGTCGTCAGCGATTTCACTTTGTGTATTATTTGCTACACACGAAAGCACTCCGGCGCAAGTGAGAATCGCTAACTAACTACTTACGTCATTACCCCCATACCGTCTATAAGGAATCTGATGATAACATAAAATTACTGGCTGCATTCTTGCGTAACTTCGGCTGCATCTCTCAAATAGAAATAAATTTTCCCTGTTTCGGCAATTTTTTTCATTGATGCTCGGCTCCTATAGATCTTAGCATGATGTTATATAGCCTACAGCGTTACTCGATAAATGGGCTATGTAACCCTAAAATAATTTTTTAATTTGAAAATGAAAACTAGCAGCGCCATCTGTTAATTGATCATCGAATTAAGTGCTCAATACATTTGCTCAATCTAATCAAAAGGTCAATATGGTATTGCTGACAGAAGGTCAAAACGCAAGTGCTAATATATTAAAGCTGTATTTTTAGAGATAGTGATGAACATGTCTTAAGAGGGTCAGTGTGTGCGAGAAATAACATACTTAAATGATAAATTTGTAACTTTTACATTCCACTGGTATGTTTACAAAAAAAAAAACTTTATTCTGTAAGAAAACACAGCATGTTTCATTATAATATTAAAGACCTTTCTTTCATGTGTCATAATATATAAATGCAAGCAGAGTATAAAAACACCCAATTAATAAATACAATGTTCACACTGAATCAGGACAACTATTTGTACAATACATAAATTCTTGTACTATCTGCAAAAATTCAAAGTTAATGCACAATCATCATCATCATCATCATCATCATCATCATCATCATCATCATCAACAGCCTTTAATAGTCTACTTCTGGACTTGGGCCTCTCCTTAAAAAGGAGGTTTCGGTTTAACGCACAGTAGTCTATCAATTTTAAAAACATTTTACTAAGATATTGGAATATGATATGTATGCATTACTAAAATATTGATATGTAGCAGATATTTTTATAGTCATTCATTGAAAAAGTAAGCATCCTTTATTGTACCTAAGAAAGTTGAGGGGGATCAAGTAAAAATATCTATGTTATTACATAAGATAGGTAGGGTAAGGGAAGATAAGGGAGGGGAAGGGTAGGTAATTAAAGAAAAAGTAAGACAGCTTGATGCAGGATAATATGGGTTCCTGAACTACAATCATGAAGATAAATGAGGCTTGAAGATAGAGATAATTAGTGTTGCAAAAAAATTTAACTATCATTAAACCATAAGGTTAAATAAAAAATTCGAAAAATAATTTTACAGCCCAACAGTAAAAATAATAATATGGTGTCTAAGCATATTTTCCCTCTAACAAGTGACAATCATTATAATCTATGCATGTTTTAACACTGAAAGTAACACATCTGCATTGCAGAATTCTTTTATAACCATTTGCCAAACTGACATTGTAAAAAAATGACAATAATATTTTAATATTTTGCCCATAACACCAGCAGTGCTTACTGTGTCACACAATTCAAGATAAAAAAAACAGTAAAAACCGGCCAAGTGCAAGTCAGACTCGCTCACAAAGGGAAATATTTGACAGACAGTGGTCCTAGTAATATGGTCCCGTTTTACTCTTTGGGTACGTAACCCAAAACAACAAGCAAAAGAAAAATATCTCTCATCAGTGTAAATTTTACAGTGTAGCCCATAAACAATTTAAAGGAACTCTATGAATCAGAAGAAATTTATATTCACAGACAATAGACAGCTTTATATTCTGTATTAAATATATTGAACATACCGGCAAAGCCTTTAAAGAGCTTGATTCTGAGCCTCTTGTTATACTGAATATGACTAAGTGTTCTTGTAACATTTTTGCGTTTATAATGATTAACATACTTACTCCTTATTACTAAAATTGTAGGGTATTCTTACTAAATTAAATTCTATTGAAATAATCACCTAAACCGTAAAATTATCTGTGTGTTCAGGTAGTTTTAAAAAGTAACTGTAAGTTCAACATACCTATAATCGTTAATTTTGGTAGGTAATTATAGTTTATTATTAATTTGCATGTCTTTTTTCATATTTAGCATCAACAGCTTATGCACAGAATCATTTGTCTATTTAATGATTCCAATTAGACAAATTTACAAAGAGTGAAAGTACACGTTTTAAATTTTATGAGCATAATTGGGCATTTCTCTATTATGGTACAATACGATATTGAAACCTATAGTGAACAAAGAAAATAATATCAAACTGGTATTTTATAGCTTCAAGGTTGTCAAAAAGATATTCAGAGTACTATAGAGTAAAACATGATTGTCACTGGGTGAAAAATTATTGCGTAGTAACGTACCTGGTCAGAAAATCACGTTTACAGGAACTATTACACCGAAATCCAAGTTTTCAAAATAAAGTCCACGTAAATATATCACGGGCTAAAACTACTGATAAGGATAATCTGCATAACACTGAAAAATGCAAGACCATCGGGACGGAACAACAAGCAAAAACACACCGAAAGGAGGAAACGAAAAAGGATAGACATATTGAGCTGTCAGACTGTCCGTGTACATTGAGCATTGGTCATTTTCTATCTTTGTTGTATAGCTTAAATTAAAGAAAGACAAAAAACGAGAACTTTTGTATTCTACTTTGTAAGAGGGAGATGTGGTATGTGATCTTTATCAAAGACTAAATCAGCTGTTTAAAAATTGGAGTCCGGTAAATAATAAGAAATGGATTTACCTTTGCATAAAAAAATGTTGTATTGCAACAGTGAATTAAGTTGATATCTTACAATGCATTCCTACTTAAATTGGGTTCTGAAATAGTTATTTATTTCACTTAAAGATGGCGTTGTTTTTATTTTGACGCTAGAAAAGTAGAAACTTATTGTCTTTGGTTGAAAAAATGATAGAGTTTGGACAAACGTCAGATTCGTTAAATTGAATTAGGACATAAGTTTACAATTTGTATACAGCTCGTGTTAACTTATTCATATTTCTTTCGTAAATATAGACTTTTATGGGATCCCAATCTAATTATTTTTAGTATCTGTACATATAATAATGGAATTTAATCGCATGTGACATTTATGTTTTTGTTTCCATCCCAGTGTTCTGTCAGTGGCTCATAACACTAACCTTTCGTCATTGTGAATAGACCTAATTACGTATAATTAGTCTACGAAAGATATAATACAGGCTACAGTGAATACGATGGCTAAGGAGGAAGATGACGACAATTTGCCCGATAAAGATGCGGCAAAAGAGTTTTATGCCAAATACGAGCCGAAAGAAATCATCGGAAGGTAAGTTTAAACTAGTGAAGACTTAATTTTACGACTGACGAATAAGATTGGCGCGATGAGTTATAATGATGCCAATTTCTAAGGAACCAGTCATTTTAAGTCGTCAGTCGATACAAAAGTTGTTACTCATAAGTCTTCTGTGTGACCTTCAGTGTGAAACCAAGCATTTCCTTTGATAAATTAATTTAAATTATATACTTTATTATTATCCATCTAACAGGAAGCTAGGTAAGAAGGTGCTGGTTGAGGTATTAAATGTTGACTGACTGAAAGACTGGATGTGCTTATAATTATATTAATTATCACTTGCTTTAGTGAAACCCGCTGCCTTTAATAGTCCACAGCTGGACATAGGCCTCTCCTTAGAAAAGAGGCTTTGGCCCACTATACGCGCTGCACTGCAAAAAAAAAGGAAAACTTGACACAAACCCCATACAAACCCGTCTGACTAGCGTGGTATAGCAGGACAAAACCTCCTTGCTAAGGAGAGGCCTATGTCCAGCAGTGGAGTATTATAGACTGTTGATGTGATGATTCATCAAGTACAACTACTACAACTATCAAAGGTTCTCTGCTTTTGTTCAGGGGTAGTCAAGTGATTTGCTAGAAAAGGAGGCAAAGTTTTATAAGGGGAGGGGTTATGAGATGATGATGTAATCCTGATGTATAGGATATAATCTATGCCCTGGTTACTTAATTTAGTAAAACTTTGGCCTGTATCTGAAACACCCTGATTAATACTTTGTGTCGCTGTTCAGAATCCGATATTTCTTGGGATAGTCTGCAAGAAATTTCACAGAAAATTTTGAAAATAATAATCAGCAAAACATTTTGTACCTGATAATTTAAATGTTTCACAGAGGTATCAGTTCAACAGTTAGAAGATGTATAGAAAAAGAAACTGGAAGGGAATATGCAGTGAAGATCATAGACTTGAGTCAGGAATCACAGGATGGGGTGGATACTCACATCATGCGAGATGCTACACGCCAGGAGATTCATATACTGCGCATGGTTGCTGGACACCCATATATTAGTGAGTGAGTTAACTGTTTATAAAAAAAGAAAAATGAATATGCATAAATGTTGACAATAAGGGTTTTTTATGGCATAGGGGGTAAACAAGCACATAGGTAATCTCATGACAAGTGGCTACCGCCAGCCATACACACCTGAAAATCAAAAGTAACAAGTTCATTACTGCCTTTTGAGTCCGTCCCCCATGAAAGGAGAAGATTTTGGGTCCGGTCACCTAACTTACTCGGTGTAAACTAATGAAAGTGTTGAATAACACTCATTTTTTGTGATGTAAAAACAGGAATAAGTCGTATTTTTTGGGGGTTAATCATCTTCAGGTCGTATAACAGCTCACAACGTGTATATTAATTAAACTTTCATTAAAGATGTGCTATCCATATGGATAAAGTAAGTAAGTAAATACTTATGACGCCCCATGGGTTTCTCTTGCAGTAGGACTGTACAAAAATATACAGAGAGAACTAAAAAATTTTAGGACCCGTTGATATGACCTGAAAGGTTTTTTATTTGTTACAGTTGAACTCCAAGATGTATTTGAATCGGAGACATTCATATTCTTAGTATTTGAGCTGTGCAAGAATGGAGAGTTGTTCGACTACCTCACATCCGTTGTGACACTATCCGAGAAGAAAACTAGATATATTATGAGGTAAGATAGATTTAAATAAAAATCCACATAGTATAAAAATAATATTAAATAGAAGCGACTGTAGCCTAGTGATTAAGGCATTGGACTTGCGAACCCACTCCTAAAACTAGTAATTTAGCTTAGGAGTTAGCAGAAGTGCTAGTAGAAAAGTAGTTTGACTTAATACTTATCTAATAAAACTAAGACATTCTCTGCCAGCTTTGCACCGTTGGGCGATGCAGAATTAAATAGTCACATTCCGTTTAAAAACATTTTTTCAACTAGATGTTTGAAAAAACTACTTACTAACTATTTGTCTATTTCTTTTGCCATGTTCAGTACCTGGTTCCACCTATAGTATTAGGTCATCACAACAAATGGGGGGTTAGGCAGCTTTGTTAAGGGATACTCTAAATCTTGGATGGAAGTCGAGACTAAGAGACTAGGATTAGAGTACATTAATTAATATCCCTGACTTCCATTTTCCTGGCTTACACTGGCAGTCCAATAATGCTATAACACAAAATAATATCTGAAATACATTGTGTAATATTTTTTAATTGTGTTACCTCATATGTACACAATAAATTTATGAAATTGGTATAATAAACCAATGCAGTTTGCTTAAAGTAAGTAATTATGTTAAAAAAAAACTTTGGATCAACATTTGGAGAATGTGTGACTTTGAAATAAATGTAACGTTCTTTTGTTTTTTTCGTTTGAGCAAGCAAATTTTTGTTGTTATTCTTTTAAAGTATCTTAAATAGAGTATAATTTTGTTCTACCAGTTTTTTTAAGACAGATAAAAAAATGATAAGATAGATAGATAATGATAAGATAGATAGATAATGCAATTGGGTATGTGAGTTTTTGATCTGTGTGGAGACGGATTAAGAATACAGAGTGTAATCACCCCTATTCATGCCGCGGGTGTCGTAAGAGCCGACTAAGAGAGCTAACTACGCAGGACAACAGCACTGCAAAGAGAAGGAAAACTTGACACATACCCTGTACCGACCCATCTGGCCAGCATGGTACAGTAGGCCAAAACCTCCTTTCTAAGGAGAGGCCTATGTCCAGCAGTGGACTATTAAAGGCTGTTGATGATGATGATCTGAAATTTTTTAAACTTATTAATTGATCAATAATTCAAATGATTCAAAATAAAATAAAGTTAACTAGTGTTATCAAAATGTAGACTGAAATAGAATGAGTATTAAATAAAAGGAGGAAACATCAGTGTGCAAAAATAAAATATTTTAATAATATACAAGTTCTTTTATGATTTAATAAAAAATGTTATTCTACCAAACAAGATATACTTACTGGCAAAATCTTATGTCCTTGCAAATATATTGCACTGCGTAAATAAAATTTCGCGAGTCATGTATGACAGAATTGTTCCCCTTTAAAAGTTCTGAGAAAAGAAAAGGTTGGCTCACTACAACCCTTTTTTTGGCTCACTATAAATCATTTTTTTTCTTAAATAATGCATTATTTGCTAAGGTGTTTTATAAACATAACATTAATCCTTATCCGAATAAATACTATCATAGGCTACTTTTTACCGCGATAACCGACAAACACGCAGGCGGAGCCGCGAGGAAAAGCTAGTTCTATATAAATCTGATTGTTGCTGAGACAAAAGAAGACTGGATGATCGTCTTAAAAATGATTAAGTACAGAAAGTCTATCACCGGTGATATAAAATCACTGCTGGACATAGGCCTCTCCCATTGCACGCCACTTAGATCGATTTTCAGATATAATGTATAGAAATAATAAATGTTATTGATATTGAATAAAAAAAATTGTTCAAAAAGTAGAATAAGCAATACAAAATAAAAGAATTCTACGAACGATTCATCTTAACCATGCTTTTCCACTTTCTTTTTAAATTGTGATAGAGCCTACTGCAAGAAAATCAATAATTTAAGCACTTGCAGTCAAGATACACCAGTGTGTAATACATCATTGAAAAGAGTTCTAAAGAGGGACGAAAAATTTAATTTACCAAATAAAAACTTGAAAGTTACATACATTGGTTGGGAATCATAATTCTCAATACAGAAAACTGTATTGTTACAATCGCTTTTTATCAGATTAATTATTTTCAGTTTATAGTTTAGTAAGTTATAGTTTTTCTGACGTAATTTATGTAAAGTGTTAAGTATTTTACATTTGGATTTTGTTATTGAATTTTATCTTCCAATTGCTAGTAATACTATCTCTTGGCATACTTAGTAAAAGCATTTGTTATTATTATTTTTATCAACCATCGTGACGCAGATTAACGTCTTAAATAGCCGTTGCATGTGTATGATCTGCCCTTCCATGACGTACTGCAGCCATAATTTAAATGGGTTTACCGTTTATTTCTATTATGATACTAGAATTAGTATTAATGATACCGAGACTATTGCTATTTGTTTTCAAATTCAGAAAGGACTTCCTTGGTTTGTGTGGCGATGGTGATAACTTTTTGTACAAGTTGTTTTATACAATAAGCTTAAACTTGACTGGATATGTAGGTTTAGCACATGTCATTTTAGTGAAATGGTACAGTGTTGCTGGTCGATTTGCATTGGCAGGATCTTTGGATCCTCGATGTGCTACTGGAAACAAAATTTAAGATAAAACTTGTTTAAAGAAGTTATTTTTAAACAACTTATAAAGTATACTACAAGCGATACTCTTTGTTGCTTAGATCCTAGTATACAAGATAAGTTGTTGGTTAGAGCGAAGTGAACTCTCGTTCTTAGTAATTTGACATAGTATATTAAACTACATTTGTCATCTACCTACAGGCTATGTTCCTCTGAAATGCATTGGTCTGGGCGCTAAATTAAAAGAAGTCCAATTTATTTATAATATATTTACACCTCCATTTTATGGATAGCATCTAGTGATTCAACTGTAGATAGTATTTGAGCAGCGTACATACAAAAAGTTTCGAGGTCGTTTCCGTACAAATTTGGCTTCTTACTTTAATAATTTTAGCTCAAGGGTAGTCTATTGTACGTTGTAGCAGAAGGTACAGGTCACTGCGTAGCGATATTCTTGTTAATAGAAAAGGATTTACGGTCTAAGTGGGTTATAATAGAAAGGTCAAGGCAAGACCTTTTTGTAGAAGGCTTTTAAACCATCTAAAGTTTTTAATTGGCGGTTTTTTTTTTATTTAACCATCGATGCGTGCGAACTGACCGGATTGATCACGTAATGTAAAGAAATAATAATACATATAGGCGAATTTAATGCTTTAGGCGTTTTCTAGTTTACAACCTTGGCGTTAGGCTTACGTGATCGTATGTCTATTAAAAATTCACGAATTAAAATAAATTTGATTACTTTTTGGGAGTTTTTTCACCTCCTTTGTCATTAAAATTGTGATTTAAAACAAGAATATTGTTAACTTACTTCGAACTTTAATTAACACATGCTGTCAGAACGATGAGTGACCCCGTATAAACGTATAGTGTAATGTTTGCGTTGCGGTACGGAATAATTATAATCGTACAATTATGGCAATTAATTTAATTAAAAACAAACTTTTATTGTTGGGATCCATAATATTCAGCAAGCCAATCGCACTATCAAGACGGTCCGTGCCATGTTATTAGCTACAATAATGTTGATACAACTAAAATCGGATTAAGAATAAGGAATGTCACCATCCTTATTCATCCCGTGGGTGTCGTACAACAGCAATGCAAGTAGAAGGAAAATTTGACATAAACCATATACCAACCCGTCTGACCAGCGTTTTATAGTAAGCAAAAACCTCCTTGCTTGGCAATGAAAACTGCAGTAGAAAAAATCCTATAGCGCAGACGATCTTTGGTATCATTCTCTTTCGAATAAACGATTCAAAGAGTATGGTACAGCTCACATCTGTATTGGTTTATTGGTCGTCCAATGGGTGTGGCTCTTTGCAATAATATATCTCGATCTCGACGTCGGTGTAGAATTAGTGATACGGCATTTTATCGAGAACGTTGACGAACTTGACCTCGTTTTATATTAGTTGACAATAATTCAAACATATTTAGGCAGATAAAACTAACCCCGATCTTTGCACAAAGCCAGGTTTGTGTTGTTGTAACGTGTATGTGGAAAAAATTATTAACCAGGGATTTTAACTTTTGAGTCACCTCCCCTCAAGGATCAGGGGCGGGATGGTTTGGGCTCCGGTAACCGACTCTCAACTAAATAATTGCTTGAAACCAGCTTTCTGTAAGGCCGTGGTATCTCTCCGGTCGAGCCGGGCCCAATTGTACCGAATCCGAACTATTATTTTCATTTTCCATCACCAAAAAATACAAATAATAATATTTTTTGGGACATCTCACACACAACGCCATCTAGTTTCGAACTAAGCAGAGCTTGTACTATGAAAAACTAAATTGACTGATAGAATACTTGTATACTTTTTTTGTAAATACATACATATTATACATAGAAAACACCCAAACTCCGAAACAAATATTTGTAGATCATGCAAACATTTGGTCCGACCCGGGAATCGAACCCGAGACCGAGACAGCAGTCGCGCTGTCGCTACCACTGCACCATCGAGGCAGTCAATGAACTTGCTACATTCACGTATATAATGTTAAAAACTGTTTCTGCTCATCCTAAAAGTATCGATGTACATATTCTTGTGTTAACCCAGAATTTGTATCGCGACACACACTGCTAAATAGCTATTGACCCATTTAATACCGCAGTTTTTTACTAACCTCGACACTAAAACAAATTTATTTTACGAGTGCAAAAGAGTAATTTGGATTTTGAATTTTCGTTTTATTGGATTGGATTGAAAATAGAATCGTCAAACTACACTTGATAATGAAAATAGCGAAATAATAAGACTCGTAGATGTATTGTCTATGTATAATATCCATGTATTTACAAAAAAAAGTATATATGTGTTTATATCAGTTGTCTAGAACCCATAGTACAGGCTCAGCTTAGTTTGAGACTAGATGGCGTTGTGTGTATGTGGTACAATATTATTATTA